CGCCCTTTGAGCCGGTAGGAAGCGCGAGTCCGCCGTCGACAAGTCCGCACAGTGACGGACAAAATGTCACATAACAATATATATATTTTATTAAATTTTGTTTATATGTTCATACAGTACATTAATCAATTCTGTGTCATAGTAGCAGCTTCACTTACCAATAGCCCTGTTCTTTTTAGCTGAGTCTTTGTACCGGTACATGTTTTCTCTTTTTTTCTCCAACTGTTGGAAAAAACAGTTGTACCGGTGCAGAGATTCAGCTAAAAAGAACAGGTGTATTAGTAATATAAGTCAAGCCGCTACTATGACCCAACGAATTAATGCACTGCAATGTACATAAAATTGTATGTGTGTATGTACACATACATATACATACTTTCTCTCTCGACGAGCTTTAGCTTGTACTAGCCATTTTGCCATAAATTTGCCGACTTTATTTTCAGTTACATCCTTATGATGAACACGGACAGTTTCTATTGTAAATGTAACCAAATTAGTACCAGTGATTAATAAGATGATAAATAACAAAGAAGAATTTAATAATACCCAGATAACAAAACGTTCCTTGGCATAAGAAAAGAAATAGGTGCTTAGCAGAAGTTTCTCTTCAATTGCCATCATGTTGCTGTCATCAGGACAATAATAATTTCATTTAGGTCAACCTAGAGGCATTATGCGGATAACGATTGTTTACGCAAATGAGTGGAAATATTGTAACAAACTTATTCCCATAAATGTTGCTACAATCTGTTGGAAATCGTTTTTGTAAAATATTTAATTCACGTTTTTGTCAATCGAATGGAAATGGAGCATCGTCGAGCAGTATGTAGTGCCGCCACCAGAGAGATGCATCGAGTTAAATTTCTCGATTTTAAAAAACGACATAGAATAGAATAAAAAACCCAGTATTAGAAGATTTTTCAGCTGTGTTCTACTAAAATAATTTTTTGAGGTGAGCCACAAGAGGGGGGTTCTGAAATGAAAGACATAATATTTTTTTTGAAATGTTTACCGAGTAAATGAAATCTCCTAATACTTTAATATGTATTTTGTTCTGCATTGTAATTTTATTCATAGTAACTTACATCTGTCAATCAAATGAGTAAAATGTCTGAAATCAACTCATATAAGTCACTTTAAAATATCTTTCAGAGTTCTTTATAAAATATTTTAAAGATGTTTTTTAAAGAATTCTTAAAGATATCTTAAAGTTCTCTTTTGAGTCGATTTTAAACAGGAAAGCATTGTTAGAGGTTAACCCTTTTTACTACAACAGTTTCTTTTATATTGCTATCGAATTGCTAGCAAATTTGTTTTATGTAGGATTAGTTTCCATCATATTGCCGTACGATTGTCCTAATTTATAAAACTTATAAAAAAGAAAAGGGAAATTGTTTCCTTCCGGTTGTGCATAAACGTTTATGGTATATATTGCCGCCAATATCATAAGCAAAATCGGAAGCCGCTTTCCTCAAAAAAGATGGAAACTCAGGCGACGCAATTTGTATCAAATTTATAGCAACATGCGGGAAACTTGCTATCTGGATTATTTAAGAACATGTAAAATAATAATAATAATATATATACATATATATACGTACCTGGTTATTTCTTATAGTTAATAATAAATCAGTCGAGCAGACCGATCAGGCGGTTAAACACAATGGGCGAGTTTAAGACAGCAAAGCGGCTAGGTGCTCACAGATCCACTCCGCAACAGTTCAGTCCGCTGAACGATCAATCTCCAATGCCACGCACGCGAGCACTAGAATGGGTATAATAAGGAGAGTGGAGCCATGGAACCAATAAGTCAGAAGTCGCTATTTTACGATAGATGTTTATGACGTAATTCCTAGTTCTAACCTCTTCTTTTTCTCTACACCCTCTTCTTCTAACTGATAGTTTGATTGTGAAATGGCGGAACCAATCAGGAAGAAGAACCAGCATTGGCTTCACTCTGAAGGAGTGGCACCCAGTTGGACACGGTTCAATTAGACACAAGCCACTCACAGCGCTTGAGACTACAAAGCTAGGAACCTGGTCGCTGTGATTGGTGGTGTCCAATCGAGCCGTGGTCAATCGGGATTACCCCCTCTGAAGATACCCATTCTAGCGAGCACTGGCTCTGAGCGCACGGCCAATTCCCGCGTAAACAATAAATTTAAATATATATCGTTTAGAAATGAATTTCGTTAAAAGATTAATTTAAGTAATTTGAATTTTCTATTTACATTACATTCTATATAAATATATATTGATATTAATTAACATATAATTTATTCAATGTTGTTTCAACGTTGCAGCAACGTTAACGATCAATGTGGAAAAATCAATAAAGATTCAACTTGTGATGCAATTTATTCATTGTTGTTTCAACGTTGCAGCAACATTAACAATCAGTGTGGAAAAATCAATAAAGATTCAACTTGTGATGCAATTTATTCATTGTTGTTTCAACGTTGCAGCAACATTAACAATCAGTGTGGAAAAATCAATAAAGATTCAACTTGTGATGCAATTTATTCATTGTTGTTTCAACGTTGCAGCAACATTAACAATCAGTGTGGAAAAATCAATAAAAATTCAACTTGTGGTTCAATTTATTCAATAATGTTTCAACGTTGCAGTAACATTAATAATCAATGTGGAAGAATCAATATAAATACAACATTGATAATACATTGACATTCCAACATTCAACATCTCAACAACGTTATTTCAATGTTCTGTGCTGTATGGGTTGCGTATAAAACATTCTGTTTTGAATAAAAGAATATTAATATTATGGAAACAAGCAGATGTAGTGTGAAAAAAACTAAAAAAATTAAGCTCTTATATATATATACGTAGAAACTGAAATCTCAATGGCTTTATCGCAGAATTCATTGTTGTAAAAAAATCTAATCTGTAAAAATATATCAAAAGAATATGTTTTTCCGCAACATTAGAAGAGTATTTGGCCAAATTTTCAGATATCTATACTTAATGCTTTCCAAGAAATCGATTTTTTTCTCTATAAAAAATCACCTTTTTTCGACTTTAATTTATTATAAATTATTGCATATAAAAAATTGGGATAAAAAACATATGAGAATATATTAAGTGACTATTTAACTATCTGAAAAACCAAACTTCACAATTACTTTTGCGAAATTTTGAAATTTTCAAGGCAGAATCGTGTAAGAAGTATACTTCCCGGTGGCAGTGAAAGAGTTGAATGGAAGCTCTCATTTTTATTGCATATTATTAGCTTATCTTGAAAGATTTTCAAACCACTATAACAAAATATTTTTTCATTGAGTACTTTTTGAGTTCTATGACTTAAAAGTTATCATACCGTTGGCATTAGTACCTGTTATTTAAGATGTCTGACTGATGTAAAACCTTTTAAATGTTGTTTATGATTTTGATAACATTTGTCAAGGTCATAGCCTTTGATAGTTGTTATTTTTATTTTTAATATAAATAATTCTTTTTAAACTTTACAACTTTTGCCTGAAATATTTTTTTTTATAAAACTTATATTTTTCGAGATATTCAGGGGTACCAGTACTTTTTATATACACCGTATATAAAAAATTTTATATATATTTTAGGATCTGATTACGCTCGGCCTCTGTTTGCCCGCATCCTGTTCCACGAATAATATAAGTTTCATTATAGAAGGAATATTTCGAGACAGAATTTTTTTAATCAATGATCTCTATTCCGTGGATTTCAACCTGATCCAGGTAAAAAACTTAAAGGATGATCATCAATGGTTGTTAAGTGGTGCGATACCTTTCATATGGTATGTCAAAAACATAAAGACAAAAAAATTAACTTTACAAATAAAATAATACACGTGAAATTTTTATATCTCTTCCGAGAGTTTGAGAAAGCGATGGGAGAGATATCTGCATATATTAATTTTATCATTTCAGTGTTGCTTTAGTGCTTACCTTTGCCATGATGATAAGCGGTACAATATACGATATATTCACATATCAAACATATTTAAAGGCAAAAACTAAAATTGTCGTTAGTAAGTATACGTCCAATTAATTGTAATGCTTTGAGTTTCTTCGGTAATTGATTATTCGTAATACTGATTTTGTTATATTCCTCGTATTAAAAAAAAGTTACGCTCACATTTTACACACTAAAACAATTTTACTCTAAATTGGAATCATTATTTTAATAAAATTCCAAAATGCGAAAAGATATTTTTTCTCTCGTATAATATTGTTTATTCCTATAGAGCAATATCTTTTTTTTTTTTCAATTATTTGCTTGCTAATAGTTTTCTTGTATTTGCCGGCAAACGTCTTCCGCAATTTTTAATAAATACAAATTCTGAAATGTGATTTAGATGAAGAAAACGTGGTCGAGGAGATGCAAATGACAGATTTGTCGCCTTCACGTAAGAAAAGTAGAATCGGGAATGTATTAATGTGTTTCTCCGTTTACACAAGTACGAAGATGATATTTAACACAAAATTGGACACCGAAGAAATAGCCGTTGTTCACGGTATAAGATTTCTGTCTATGGTTTGGATAATCATATTTCATAGCATATTTTTCGCGTTGGAATATTTCGGTAAGTATACTGACACAAAAATTGTAGAACTGAGATTATTTACGTCTCCTGATGTATCGTTTTCCATGCATAACGAATGTTATTTCACATATGTAGACAATAAAATATGGATGTTGAGATTTTCCGAAGGTGTCCTTGTTCAAGTGTTCAGCAATGCAACCTTATCGGTTGATACTTATTTCTTTTTAAGTGGATTTTTATTGGCTTACACGAATTTAAAAAATAAAATAGACAAGAAACGAATTAAGTCGATTCATTACAAAGAGAAGCTAAACGAGTTCTTTATCAGCATAATGAAGAGATATATTCGGTACGTTTCTAACGTTATCTTAATTTACGCGAACGTGAACAAAGACGACGCTGTAAGCATGACAACATCAATGATACATATAAACAAAATAACAGAAAATACGATTTAAAAATACAATTTAACAATGAGCTAAATAATAAATGTTTTCTTTATGGTTTTTAAATCTAGAAATTTCTTTAAAGGTTAACACCGGCTTATATAATGACGATAGGAATAGCGCAATTGATTTCAGCTTGGTACGACAAGACTTCGCAATTCTACGTTGACGAGAGACCGCACGAAATTTGCGCAAAATACTGGTGAAGAAATGTCGTATACATACATAATCTGTTTAGTCTTAATACAATGGTATGAATTAGGCTGTGTCAATTTAGGCTGTGTTCCAAAATTTATTGCCAGTACTGAAAATCTATATAGATATTCATATCATCATCATAATATCATTCTCGCATCATACACTCAGAAGCATGTAAAAAAGACTTCTTATTCCAAGATATATTGAAATTTTCTTGTAGTGCTTGTCCTGGAGTTGGTATCTATCCAACGATATGCAATTTTATATAATCGGTCTGGTGTTTTTAATCCTGTCAACTATGTAAGTTAAACGATCGTTGAGAGAGAGAGAGAGAGAGAGAGAGAGAGAGAGAGAGAGAGAGAGAGACTATGGAATGTTATATATTTTTAACGCATGTATCTGAATAAATAAAAGCTATAAATTTCAGATATTTTTACGTGGCTGTTATCATACTAGGTACAATTTTGATAGCCTCGATTATCCTAAGCAGTTATATCTCATACATTTATGAATTTGTTCCGACGTAAGTTGCAAAGCATTTTATTAATTGTGAAACTAATTAAGTAAATAAACACTTTTTTATTATTACAGTTTGGACGAACAGTACAGACTTTCACATGACTTATACTTCCCACCATGGATTCGAATTGGTCCATATATTATTGGAATGATTACAGGTTACATTATAAGAAGATTTAACAAAAAAATAGCCTTGAAAAAGGTTAAGTATACAATATTTATTTTTACATAAGAGAATTTGATGTAACCAATTGTTGAAGTTACGGGGTATGTGAGCTGCCGATTAATAAAATTTAGATGATAATTAGAAATAGTTATTTCTAATTATGCAGAACGCAGATTTGAAATATCCATAATTATAAATGGATTAATATCAGATTAATTTTTCTAAAAAATTTAAAAGTAGCTAGTTTTTAAATTATGTCTACAGTTATACATATATGTATATACGGGGTGTCCCTAAATTTTTTTCATTATGTACTTTTTGAATTATAAGAAGGCTTGCAAGTTACAATATCGTCATCATTACAACATTATCTGAGATAACTGACTGAGATTAAGGGGATGCTGGAGCGACGGTCGAAGTTAATCAAGGTCGATATTACAGGTTTTCATTTCCAATGTATAAGATGCTTACGCCCTCTGGGTTAACATGATCATGCAGGAAATTCGATTGATTAATTATCGATATTTTTATTCCGTTTCCTACATTACCATCTTGCTCAGGGACGAAAACATGTATTAGGCTTGATCCCACAAATGTAAGATTTATTTTATTTTAGAAAATTTTCTAATTTTAAAATTAAGAAAAATAAACCGGGATTGAAGTTAATCTTATATTTGTGGAATCGGGCCTTAGAAATACAGTT